GAATGAACTGGTGATTATAATAGAATCAGGGGCATAGAAAGGGATTGGACTGACTATTCTTGGGGGGGGAAAGGGGTGAGGGGGATGTGGGAAGAGACTGGACAAAAATCGTGCACCTATGGATGAGGACTGGGTGGGGAGTGAGGGAGGAGGGTAGGGTGGGAACTGGGTAGAGGGGAGTTATGGCGGGAAAAAAGAGGAACAACTGTAATAATCTGAACAATAAAGATTTAATTAATCAAAAATAATAATAATAATAACCTTAAAAGTAAGTGGAGTACATATTCCAATCAAAAGATATCGAGTGGCTGAATGGATAAGAAAACATGACCCATTTATATGCTGTCTAAAAGACATCCCCCACAAAACAAGGGACTCACACAGACTGAAAGTGAAGGGATGGAAAAATATTTTTCAGTAAACTATAAATGAAAAGAAAAGCTTTGGTAGCAATACTTATATCTGTCAAAATAGACCTCAAAGTGAAGGCCATAACAAGAGATAAGGAAAGCCACTTCATAATACTAAAGGGATTAATACAATAAGAGGATATAACTCTGGTAAACATATATGCACTCAATGCAGGAGCACCGAAATACATTAAAAAAAAAAAAAAAAAAAACTTCTGCAAGATATCAAGGGAGAGATCGACAGCAAAACAATCATAATAGGGGATTTTAATACCCCAATTGACATCACTGGATAAATCCTCCAGACAAAAAATCATCAAAGAAACAGCAATCCTAAATGACTCAATAAATCAGATTGACTTAATCAACATCTTCAGAACATTTTACCCCAAAGCTACAGAATATACATTCTTCTCAAGTGCACATGGGACATTTTCAAAGATAGACCACATATTGGGTCACAGGCAGAGTCTCTTCAAATTCAAGAAGATTGGAATCATATCAAGCATCTTCTCAGATCACAATGGCATATTAGAAATCAACTACAATAAAAACAATCAAAAAATTCAAATACATGGAGGCTAAATAGCATGTTATTAAACAATGATTGGGTTACCAAAGAGATCAAAGAAAAAAATAAAAAATAAAAAATATCCTGGAAACAAATGACAATGAAAACACAATCCCAAATCTGTGGATCACAGTGAAAGCAGTCCTGAGAGGGAAGTGCATAGCAGCACAGGCATACCTCAATAAAACAAGAAAACCTCGTAATAAATTATCTAACTCTACAACTTAAAGAATTAGAGAGCAACAAGAAAAGCCCAGAGTGAGCAGAAGGAAGGAAAGAATAAAGATCAGAATGGAAAGAAATGACATAGAGACCAAAACAACAACACAAAAGATCAATGAAACCAAGAGCTGGAGTTCCTTGAAAAGATAAACAAGATTGATGAACCTCTAGCCAGGTTCACCAAGAAGCAAAGAGAGAGGACCCAAATAAACAAAATCAGAAATAAAAGAGGCGAAATAACAACAGAAGCCACAGAAATAAAAAGGATTGTAAAAAAAAAAAAATACTATGAAGAACTCTATTCCAACAAACTGGTCAACCTAGAAGAAATGGGCATATTCCTAGAAAAATACGACCTCCCAAAACTCAGTCAGGAAGAATAAAAAAATCTGAATAGGCCAATAACTATGAAGGACATTGAAGCAGTCATCAAAAAACTTCCAGCAAACCAAAGCCCTGGACCAGATGGCTTCATAGGGGAGTTTTACCAAACATTCAAAGAAGAACTAAAACCTACCAAGACTATTCCAAAAAATTCAAGAGGAAGGAACACTTTCAAGCTCATTCTATGAAGCCAGCATTACCCTAATCCCAAAACCAGATAAAGACAACACAACGAAAGAGAATTACAGGCCAATATCTCCAATGAACATAGATGCTAAAATCCTCAACAAAATCCTAGCAAATTGGATCCAGCAGTACATCAAAAAGATCATACACCATGACCAGCGATGCAACGCTGGTACAATATCCATAAATCAATAAATGTGATACATCACATAAACAAATTGAGAGATAAAAAAATCACATAATCATATCAATTGATGCAGAAAAAGCATTTGACAAAATCCAACACTCTTTCTTGATAAAAATCCTCAGCAAGGTAGGAATAGAAGGATCATACCTCAACATAATAAAATCCATATATGACAAACCCACAGCCAATATCATACTCAATGGACAAAAACTAACACCATTTCCACTAAGAACAGGAACAAGACAGGGATGCCCACTCTCACGACTCCTGTTTGACATAATACTGGAAGTATTAGCCATTGCGATCAGACAAGAAGAAGAAATAAAAGGCATCCAAATTGGAAAAGAAGTACAACTGTCCTTATTTGCAAATGACATGATATTGTACGTAGAAAACCCCAAAGACTCCATCAAAAAACTACTAGACCAAATAAATGAATTCAGCAATGTAGCAGGATACAAAATTAACACCCAGAAGTTTATGGCTTTTCTATACACCAATAATAAACTCACAGAGAGAGAAATTAAAAAAGCAATCCCATTTACCATTGCAACAAAAAAATTAAGATACCTAGGAACAAATGTAACCAAGGAGACAAAGGACCTGTACTCAGAAAATTTCAGGACGCTAAAAAAAGAGACAGAGGAAGACATGAACAAATGGAAGAATATACCATGTTCATGGACTGGTAGAATCAACATCATTAAAATGTCCATACTACCCAAAGCAATCTATAAATTCAACGCAATCCCCATTAAAATATCAACAGCATACTTCAAAGACCTAGAACAGATTCATCTGGAATAAAAAAAATACCCCGAATAGCTGCAACAATCTTGAGATAGAAGAACAATGTTGGAGGGATCACAATATCAGATATCAAGCTATACTACAAAGCTACTGTTCTCAAAACTGCCTGGTAGTGGCACAAGAACAGACATATAGATCAATGGAAGAGAACAGAGAACCCAGAAATCAACACAGGCCATTATGTTCAATTAATAGGAGGCAAGAGCATACAATGGAGACAAGACAGTCTCTTCAATAAATGGTGTTGGGAAAACTGGACAGATACTTGCCAAAAAATGAAACTAGACCACCAAATTACACCATACACAAAAATAAACTCAAAACGGATAAAGGACTTAAACGTAAGACAGAACACCATAAAAATCTTAGAAGAAGCCACAGGCAGCAAAATAGCAGGCATTTGTCGTAGCAATATCTTTACCGATACAGCTCCTAGGGCAATGGAGACTACGGAGAAAATAAACAAATAGGACTACATCAAAATAAAAAGCTTCTGCACAGCAAAAGAAACCATCAACAAAACAATAAGAAAGCCCACTGCACGGGAGAACATATTGGCCAATGTTATCACCAATAAGGGTTTAATCTCCAACATTTACAGGGAACTCATACAACTTAACAAAAGAAAGATAAACAATCCAATCAAAAAATGGGCAAAGGACCTAAATAGACAGTTTTCGAAAGAGGACATTCAGAAAGCCAAGAGACATATGAAAACATGCTAAAGTCACTAATCATTTGAGAGATGCCAATGAGGTATCATCTCATACCTGTCAGAATGGCTATCATCATCATCATCAACAAATCAACAAACAAGTGCTGGAGAGGATTCAGAGAAAAGTGAACCCTCCTTCACTGCTAGTGGAAATGCAGACTGGTGCAGCCACTATGGAAAACAGTATGGGGTTTCCTCAAAAAAGTAATGGAACTCCCATTTGACCCAGTGATCCCACTTCTAGGAATATATCCCAAGAAACCAGAAACACCAATCAGAAAGGATATATGCACCCCTATGTGCATAGCAGCACAATTTACCATAGCTAAGATTTGGAAACAGTCTAAGTGGCCATCAGCAGATGAGTGGATTTGAAAACTGTGGTATATCTACACAGTGGAATACTACGCTGCTGTAAAAAAGAAGGAATTCTTACCATTTGCAGCAGCATGGATGGAACTGGAGAGCATTATGCTAAGTGAAATAAGCCAGCAGGTGAAAGATAAATACCACATGATCTCACTCATTTGTGGGATATAATGAACAACATAAACTGATGAAGAAAAATAGATCCAAAGACAGAGAAGCATCCAACAGACTGTCACACCTCAGAGGGAAGGTGAGGGCGAGGCGGGGAGGTGGTTAGAGATCAACCAAAGGACTTGTATGCATGCATGTAAGCATAACCATTGTGCACAGACACTAGGGGGTGAAAGCATGTGCTGGGGTTGGAGGTGGCCCGGGAGAGGTCAATGGAGCGGAAAAGGAGACATATGTAATACTATATGTAATACTTTAAACAATTAAGAATTTTTAAAAATGAAACTATCTTCCTAAAAGTAATGAAAGCTAGACTACGACAATTTTGATTAGTCTCCAGCATCACTTGGTCACAGTATAATGCACCTCACAGTCACAGCCAACCCTGGTTGTATTAAAGGGTCCACCCCCACCCCACTCACGGTCTCTGGAGCCTACCACGCAGCCAACCCGGGCACGCACAGGCACACACAACACACACGCTCTCTCTTACACACACAGACATGCACTCTCATAATTACATCCCAAGCTGACGCAGCCATATAATCATGCACCCCCGCCTGCCCCATCACCTTCCTCAGCAGGTGATTCACACGGGCCGGAGCCAGCTGCCTCTGCCTCCACCCGCACCCGCACCCGGAAACCTCCGGGCCTCCTACGTCCTTCCGCAACCCTGAACCCGTGTCCCCTCCACTCACCACGCAGATCACGGTGACCGCAGGGCTGGCGTGAAGTGAACAAGAAGTCGACGTCCATTAGCTCCCCCGGGGGCCTGTGACAAACGTAACCCAAGCCGGAAAAGCGCGGATGGAGACACAAGCCGACCTGGGCTGCAGGAGCTGGGATCTCGGGCTCCAGACGCGAGGCCCTGCGGGCTCCTGGGAGCTGCGGCGCGCGCGGGACTGCGCAGGCGCAGACGACCGACTCTGGGCCAGGGTGAGGTGTTTGGGTCCTAGACGCGTGAGTCTTAGGGGCCCTGGAGAAGGAGAGACCGGGAAGCCCGGGGCCAGGAGGTCAGACTAGGGAAGCGGGGCCCAGCCGAGAGGCCAAGGAGGAAACCGCGATCAAAGCCGGTCCTGGTTATTCAGAGAAGGGAGCTGGAACTGGGCCCGCGGTAACTAGACACTCAGATCTCTGAGCGGGGCCTCGGGCGTGGTCCGTGGGCGTGACCGTGAGGGTGACAATCGCTTGTGATCTGGAATGAGCTCTGCGAGGGGGGGTTGTGTCTGTTCGACTCTGAAGAAGCGTATGGCAGCGAAGAAGCCGCACCGAAGGGGGGTGTGTGTGTGTGTGTGTGTGTGTGTGTGTGTGTACCGAACGAGGCGGCCTCCTGCCCCAGATCGCTGCATTTTGGGTGCGTGCTAGTTTGCGAGAAGTTAGGGAGGATTGTGTGTGAAAAGTGGACGGTTTAATGTTGCTACCTGGGGTTTCTTCTGCCTTTGTCTATTTCGAGATCAGGTGTGAGTCGTATTTGAGGCTGTAGGTGATGATGGAGAAGCGAAAGTGATTTGCAATATGATTTTGAGACTTTGCCTGGAATTATGTAATGAATGTGCTGCCCGAGGTTGTGATATATGGGGGCTATGGGATGCTGGTTTGCTGAGGAAAGTTTGATTGACTGTAAACTATGCATGTGTTTGTAAACCACTGTTATTTTTTGTGATGGAGAAACTCTGCATGACCCCTGTCTAGTTGGGTATGTAAGATGTGATTATCTGAGTAGCGTTCATTAAATCTGCCTCCAAAATTGTAACTCAATAGCTATTTAGCAAATAAAATAGAGATATAAATATCGGAAAGGAAGAGGTAACAGTTTTGTAATTCCTAAATGGTAAGATTCATTTTAGGGAAACACCATATGAACTAAAAGTAATGTGTTAAAATGAATAGTGTCCCATAATTAGTGCTTTCAACACATATATCTCTGAGATTTCCTGCTTCTGAGTGAAAGTGATGACAAGGTTAATAGCTTCTTCGGGCATTCTAAAATAATAAAGAGTATTTGGTACACTTTTAATCACAAGGCCCATCTTGTTTTAGTAATTAAAATAGTTATTTTGTGAATTAAAATATTCACTGTATCAATCTATACTTCTGACCTTATTTAGCAAAATACTATCCTTTCTGCGTAGAAGCCTATAGAGTAGAAAGGCACATTTCTTTTCTATTTCCATACCTATACTACTAAAAAGTGTTGCTTACTATTAATATTTAAATTAGCTATTAGGAAATTAATAATAAATATTTATTATTAATAACTGTGCTTATTACATAGTGTGAAACAGATGAATCAATAAAGAGATGAAGTAGAGACATAGAAAGTCCAGATATTCTCAAGCAGATAGGGATATGGAATATGTGATAGAGATGGCATTTCACATAAATTGAGAGAATATGGATTGTATGTTATGTAGTATTGCTAAACAATAAAACACTGGATAAAATCTTCACAAAGCAAAAACACTTTAATAGTCATATGAATAACTAAGAAAATTTATTTGCAACTTTAAGCAGGTAAAGCGTTAATTTACTAAATTTAAAAATATAATATCAACAAATTAGGAAGTAAAAACCCATGGGGAAAAAAAAGACATATTATAAGAAGATGCCATCACATAAAGGAAATAAAAGCTTCTTTAAACTTATTTTTTAAAATTTTTATTTATTTTTTAATATATTTTTATTGATTAAGATATTACATATGTGTCCTTATCCCCACGTTATCCCCTATCCCCCCGCTAAATTTTTATTTATTGATTTTAAAGAGAGGGGAATGGGGAGGGAAAGAGAGAGAGAGAGAAACATTGATTTGTTGTCCTACTTATTTTGGTTGATTCTTTTATGAGCCCTGACCAGGAATTGAACCTCAACCTTGGTGTATCAGGACAACGCTCTAACCAACTAAGCTACCCAGCTAGGGTCTTCTTTAAAGTTATTAAAAGGAGCTTATTCTCACTCATAAGGAATGTGTAAATTAGAATTATAATATTGATAGTAGAGATTGAAAAATTATTGTCAGCTAGCTGCATTCATCAAGGTATGAGGAGGTATTCTTATGCACTACTGGTGGCAGTAGAAATTGGTAGAAAGTCCATGAAAAAAAAAATAACTGGAAATATATAATAAACCCATCCTCTATGGAAGATGAAAGTAGATCTGTAGAGGGAATGTTCCCCCTCTCCAAGCCACAACAAATTCCCCAGAATTTATTCTACCCCACCAAGAGATTAGGTTTCTGATGTTGGTGAGGGAGCAGGATTTGCCCAGTTAATTTATATCCTGGATTTATATGGGATACAGAGTGGACAAGTGCTGAAACAGTGAAAACAGATGTAGATTTAACTGAGTTATTCTGAGAGATCTAAGTCAAATATGGTTTCATATGGTTCCTTGTATCTTCCCATCTCTGCCTTCTCAGGACTCTTCCCTTTCCAAAAGAAGAGCTCAAAAGAGAAGGTTCATCTCTTGCAAATCTCACAGCTATGCCTCAGGTGAGATGATGTTTCCTCTCTTTCTGAAAAACTTGTTTTCAGATTATATGAACATTTATTTCCCTATTCTTAAATTTCTCGGGTATGAGGGTTGGCATCCTTGAAACTAGCCTCCAGTAGGGCCTAGATTGGGTGGCCTAGGTACAAAATTTAAGGAGTACTCTCAGAGCTGTGCATCCCTAAATTTTGCACCATAGGTACCTTGCCTGTCTCAACCTAGTTACAGCTCTGTTCCCAGTTTCTCTTATTCCAACCAGATAAATGTAAGCCTTCCCCAAGTGCACTTTCTAGTTGGAGCCAATGTTCACATATAGATTGAGTATATCATCATTATTTCTGTCTTCTCACAAAAGTTACTGCTGAAACAGAAATGTATTATCTTGATCTAAATGGGGATATATTACTTGAATGAATCTAGTCCAGACATGGATTTGAGATCTAAGTTGTGAGGAGTAAAGGTGCAGACATGGAAAAACCTTGATCATACCCACTGACCTAGGTTTTGCAGTTATGGATAGCATTATGAGTTTGTGGTAAGATGTCCTGTTTTGTGAGGTTTTCAGGATATAGATTTATTTGCAAGCTTATCAGAAAACTGAGATTTTGCATTTCTCCTCTTTGATCCCCTATTTTCTCCATGTCTGCCAGCAATTTCTACAAACTGTGGCCTGCCAGTGAAAACATTTCTAGTATGTCAGTGCTGTTATAGATTTATTATAGTTTTTATTTCTTCTAATTTTTATATGTGGGTACAAGAGAAGGAAATGCCTATGCTAGCCCACTCTTAAAATATTCTACTTTTGAATCAAAGGTGATATAATGTCCTGTGTTCATATTGTTCTTTCAGAAGATTTATCTTCATCAACCAGTCTTTAAAATATTGGTTTTCCAAAAATGCTAATTGGTTCTCTTCTCTTTACTGTCTCTTTTTCTATATTCACAATCAAATTCACTGTAAAGGTTATACTGACCTGATTCTAGTGATTCTCAAATACCTCTCTCTCAAATACCTCTCTCTATCCTAGGCCTCTATCTAGAGCAGTGGTTCTTAACCTTGGCTGCACATTAGAATCACCTGGGAATCTTTTTAAAATCCTGATTTCTGGGCCTCATCCTTTGGAAGTTCTGTTTCTTCGTTATGGGGTGGGGCCACAACATTAGTAACAAAGAAACAGAATTTCCGGAGGATGAGGCCCAGAAATCAGGATTTTATTTTATTTTTTTTTAATATATTTCATTGATTTTTCACACAGAGGAAGGGAGAGAGATAGAGAGTTAGAAACATCGATGAGAGAGAAACATCGATCAGCTGCCTCCTGCACATCTCCCACTGGGGATATGCCCGCAACCCAGGTACATGCCCCTGACCGGAATCGAACCTGGGACCCTTCACTCCGCAGGCCGACGCCCCATCCACCGAGCCAAACCAGTTTCGGCCAGAAATCAGGATTTTAAAAAGATTCCCAGGTGATTCTAATGTGCAGCCAAGGTTGAGAACCACTGATCTAGGCAGTGGTCAGCAAACTGTGGCTCACGAGCCACATGCGGCTCTTTGGCCCCTTGAGTGTGGCTCTTCCACAAAATACCGACTTCTGCACATGGGCCACGAAGTTTCAATCGCACTGTACACACGTGCCCGCACGTGGTATTTTGTGGAAAAGCCACACTCAAGGGGCAAAAGAACCGCATGTGGCTCGCGAGCCGCAGTTTGCCGACCACTGATAGAGTGTCAGAACCATATATCCAACCTCCAACAGCTATCACCACCTGTATGTTCTATAGTCACTTCAAGTACATTTTCAAGGCTGACCTCACTACCAGCTTATACTTTCTTCTGTTTCCCATTTCCATTTTTTAGTCCCAGCAGCTACCCATTTGCTTATGCAGGTAACTGAAGAGCTATGCCTATTTTTTCCATTCTACAACCAATTTATGACCAATTCTGTTGTAACTCATCATACCAATCAGTAGTCCCATGTCTAGACCACTAATAACACCTTAATCTAGGAGACATCTCTAACAATGGTTACCTTATTGTTTTTCTCACCTAATACATCTCAAGCCATCTCTAGTCTTTAAGAGTATTGCCTCTAAAGTACAAAAGTTATTACATATGTGTTGACTTAATGTTTCTTTATTTTCTTTATACTCCATAAAGTAGTAGGCCCAAAGTGAAATTTTAATTATAATGGAATGTACAAGACAGTGTATTGAAAGGAAGGAAAATACTACAGTTTGCATTCAAGAGCTCTAGTCATTAACAATGTGGATTTGCCATTAATGCCTACTGGTAATTGATAAATACTCATCTGTTGTGAGTGTTCTCAGTACATTTTTAAGACTACTGCTCTATTGGAAAAATACCTAATATTATTTCATAATATACACACTGCCTATCTCCATGTACTTTTTCCTTCTTAGAGCTCAAAGACTCTTTCTTAAAAACTGTCTTTTATATTTCCTGAATTTACTGTTTATTTTATACCCATTAATTTTAAAAGCCGATGCCCTATATTCCTACAAAACAAATGCATTGTGAACTTAAAAATTTTATGTCCTCAATGAAGCTTTGGAATACATAATGAAATTTTCCTTCACTTTGTAGCACTTTCCCTTGTTCACATTCCTATCATTGCATATGTAATATCTATTGAGTGTATAATGCAATACCTCTCTCTTACGCTGCAACTTCTCATTATTGCAGTCAGAGTTTTATTCATTTTGGTCCACCAGGTAACCAATCACATTCAAAGTAAATAGTATGTTCTCATATATTTTTATCATGAGATAATAAGTAAATACAGGTGAATGTATTTTCAGAGAAAATGTTATGCAGTATAAAACAAAATAAGAAAACTAGTCTGACCACTGAACATGGTCAAAGGTAGATCTCCAATATCTAGTTTTCACTAGTTGCAATCACTTTAGGATGAACTAGAGTATGCCCTTACAGGGATCAGTGTCATTCAAGGATGTGACTGTGGACTTCACCCAGGAGGAGTGGCAGCAACTGGACACTGATCAGAAGGCCCTCTACAGGGATGTCATGTTGGAAAACTATTACCACCTTATCTCTGTGGGTAAGGAGAACTCCTTGAATCTTTCAGTGTCATGCATCTCCTTTCAAGAGTTTCTGAAATTTAATGGAACTTTGAATTTCAGGGAACATAGTTGGTGAATCCCTTTGTGTTAGCAGAAAGTCTGGTATGTTCTCACTTGCTTAGTGCAAGGTGTTAACTTTGGTAAGATGTTAATGTATACCTTGTCTGCTGCCTTGAAGATATATCTTTCTCTTCCTTTAATTATTTTGAAGCCCAAGGAGATTAGGTTAAGTCTCATTTTTGAAAAATTTATTGAATCTATTGGGGTGACATTGGTTAATACAATTATATAGGTTTTAGGTATACAATTCTATAGTACATCATCTGCATCTTATATTGTTTGTTCACCATCCCAAGTTAAGTTTCCTTCCATCACCATTTAATCTCCCCTTTACCTTCTTCCGCCTCTTCACATCCCACTTTCCCTCTTGTAATCACCATACTGTTATCTGTGTTTTTGAGTGTTTTTCTTTGCTTAATCCCTTCACCTTTTTCACCCAGCCCCAAGCCCCTTTCCATCTAACAGTTGTCAGTGTGTTCTCCATATCTGTGAATCTATTTCTATTTTGTTAGTTTATTTTGTTTGTTAGAGTCCATATATAAGTGAAATCATATGGTACTTGTCTTTCTCTGACTGGCTTATTTCACTTAGTATAATATTCTCCAGGTCCATCTATGCTGTTGCAAAAAGATAAGATTTCCTTTTTTTTTTTTTTTTACAGCTGAGTAGTATTCCATTGTGTAGATATACCACAGCTTTTTTATCCACTCATCTACTGATGAACACTTGGGCTGCTTTCAGATCTTGACTATCTAATAAAAGAGAAACATAGTAATTAGCCGTACCTCCACTACCCTTCCAATTGGCTAATCAGGGTGATATGCAAATTAACTGCCAGCCAAGATGGCGGCCGGCAGCCAGGCAGCTTGAAGCGAACATGAGGCTTGCTTGCTTCAGTGACAGAGGACTCCAACATTCCCCGCCTGCCGCTGCCGGCCTCTGAGCTTGCAGTTTGAAACATTGTTACAAATATAGAAGCTAAACAAAACCCCAGAAACCTGCTTTCAGCCAGCCAGGATCTCAGAGCTGGAGTTGAAACAGTGTTTCGATTATAGAACCCAAACAAACCAGATACCTGCTTTCAGCAGCCGAGGCCTAAGATCTGGAGCCAAGCTTCAGAGCTAAAGCTGGCCCAGAATAAAAAAAAAAAGAAAAAAAGGAGCGGTTAGGCGCTTCCATCACCCGCCAGCCTGAAAACAGCCCTCAGCCCCTCACCCAGACTGGCCAGGCACTCCAGTGGGGACCCCCACCGTGAAGGGTGTGTGACCAGCTGCAAACAGCCATCATCCCCTCATCCAGGCTGGCCAGGCACCCCAGTGGGGACCCCCACCCTGATTAAGGACACCCTTCAGGGCAAACCAGCCGGTCCCCACCTGTGCACCAGGCCTCTATCCCATATAGTTAAAGGGTAATATGCCTCCCAGCACCGGGATCAGTGGAGCCGCGAGGCCTCCCAGCACCAGGATCAGCGTGACAGGGGGCAGCTCCCAAAACCCCTGATCGCCCTGCAGCTCTGTGTGTGACAGGGGGCGGGGCCACAACCTCCCTATCCGCCCTGCTCTGTTCGTGACAGGGGAAGGCACCCCAACCCCCTGATCAGCCCTGCTCTGTGCCTGATACGGGGGAGCTCCCCAACCCCCTGATCGCGCTGCAGCTCTGTGTGTGACAGGGTACGGTGCCCCAACCCCCTGATCGGCCCTGCTCTGTGTGTGACAGGGTGTGGCGCCCCCACCCCCCCACCCCCCACGGGCCCTGCTCTGTGTGTGACGGGGTAGAGCCATAGCCTCTCCATCGGCCCTTTCCTGAGTGTGACAGGGTGTGGCGCCCCAACCCCCTGATCCACCCTGCTCTGTGTGTGACAGTGGGCGGTGCCCAAACTCCCCTATCGGCCCTGCTCTGTGCGTGACAGGGGGGAGCTCCCCAACCCCCGATCAACCCTGCTCTGTGCGTGACAGGGTACGGAGCCCCAACCCCCCTGATGGGCCCTGCTCTGTGAGTGACAGGGGGCAGCGCCCCAACCCTGATTGGCCCTGCTTTGTGCATGACAGGGGGTGGCGCCGCAACCTCCCCATCGACCCTGCCTTGAGTGTGACGGGGCGGTGCCCCAACCCCCAATCAGCCCTACCCTGAGCATGACTGAGGGTGGCATCGCAACCTCCCGATCCACCCTGCTCTGTGCATGACGGGGTGGTGCCCCAACTCCCCAATCAGCCCTGCTCTGAGCCCGACCAGGGGCTGCACCTAGGGATTGGGCCTGCCCTCTGCCACCCGGGAGCAGACCTAAGCCAGCAGGTCATTATCTCCCGAGGGGTCGCAGACTGCAAAAGGGCACAGGCTGGGCTGAGGGACCCCATCCCCTCCCCCCGAGTGCACAAATTGTTGTGCACCGGACCGCTAGTCTACACTAATCAAAGAGAAACATGCAAATTGGTCATCACTCTGCTACGCCCACCAGCCAATCAGGGCGAGTATGCAAATTAACCCAACAAAGATGGCAGCGGCCATGGAGTTGGAGCGAGCACGAGGCTTGGGTTGCCCCTGGCGACAGAGGAAGCCACGCTTCCTGCCTGCCCTGGCTGCCGCTGAAGGAGAAGCCTGGCAACCCAGGCTTCCAGCTGGCCCTGGCCTCAACTCAAGGAGGGGCTGGGGGCCTGGGTTGCCAGGGGGCGTGGACAGCCTGAAAACAGCCCTAGCCCCTTACCCAGGCTGGCCACACCCCCATGGAGTAAGAGTCCTCACTGGCGGGCCTGGCCAGCCTGCAAACAGCCCTCAGCCCCTCACCTAGGCTGGCCAGGCACCCCAGTGGGTCCCCCACCCTGAAGGGGCTGTGGCCAGCCTGAAAACCACCCTCAGCCCCTTACCCAGGCTGGCCACGCCCCCCCCAATGGGGACCCTCACCCCATGGGGACATGGCTGGCCTGCAAACCACCACAACAAGCCCCTCGCCCAGGCCGCCTCACGCCCTAAGGGAACCCCCACCCTGATCCGGGACACCCTTCAGGGCAAACCAGCCGGCCCCCACCTGTGCACCAGGCCTCTATCCTAATAAAAGGGTAATATGCTAATTAGGCTGGGAGACCTTCCAGGAGACCTTCTGGACGTTCTTCTGGACAAAGCCATGGTGGCAGGGCTGAGGTAGAGGCGGTTAGAGGCCAAGAGGGGAGGGCAGTTGTGGGTGATCAGGCCAGGATGTGACGGCTGTTGTGGGTGATCAGGCTGGTGGGAGGGGCCGTTGTGGGTGATCAGGCCGGCGGGGGAGGCAGTTGCGGGTGAGCAGATCAGCAGGGGGGCCAGTTGGGGGTGAGCAGGACTGTGCGGGGGCAGTTTGCAGTGAGCAGGCCATTGGGGGGACAGTTGAGGGTGAGCAGGCTGGCAGGGGGGCCAGTTGGGGGCAAGCACACTGGCACAGGGGGCTGTTGGGGGTGATCAGGTTGGCGGAGGGGGGGCATTTAGGGGCAAGCAGGCCTGCGGCGGTGGCAGTTGGGGGCAAGCAGGCCGGCAGGCAGAGTGGTTAGGGGCAATCAGGCAGGCAGGCAGGTGAGCGATTAGGAGCCAGCAGTCCCAGATTGTGAGAGGGATGTCTAACTGCTGGTTTAGGCCCGATCCCTGTAAACCGGCAGTAGGACATCCTTCGAGTAGTCCCAGATTGAAGAGGGTGCAGGCCGGGCTGAGGGACACCCCCCCCCTCCCATGTACGAATTTTGTGCACCAGGCCACTAGTCCTATATAATAAAAGGCTAATATGCAAATTGATCAAATGGTGGAATGACCCGTCGCTTTGACGCACACTGACCATGAGGGGGCAGATGCTCAACGCAGGAGTTGCCCCCTCGTGGTCATTGCACTCCCACAGGGGGAGCTCCACTCAGCCAGAAGCTGGGCTCACTGCTAGGGAGTGCAGCGGCGGTGGCGGGACCCTCTCCTGCCTCCACAGCAGTGCTAAGGATGTTCGACTGACTCAGGAGCAGGCCTAAGCCTGATGTCAGTCAGACATCCTGAGGGCTCCCAGACTGCAAGAGGGCACAGGCCAGGCTAAGGGACCCCCCTGAGTAGACAAATTTTGTGCGCTGGGCCTCTAGTTATAAATAATGCTGCTATAAACATAGGGGTGCATATATATTCTTTTGAATTAGTGTTTCAGATTTCTTTGGATATATTCCCAGAAGTGGAATTGCTGGATCATAAGGCAGGAATTATGCTAACTGATATCAAACTATACTACAAAGATACAGTAATCAAAACAGCATGGTACTGGCATAAAAACAGACATATAGATTAATGGAACAGAATAAAAAGCCTGGAAATATGTCTCATTTTTTTATTATCAGGGTTTCACATGACTAAACCTGATATGATCCGCAAGTTGGAAGAAGGAAAAGAACTATGGACAACAGAGAGAATTTTTTCAAGTCAGAGTTATTTAGGTGAGTCTGTACAGATAAAGACCAGTGAACTCAGGCAGTTGACATATTTGAATGTTTTTAGGGATATATACGTTTTTTAATTGTGGTAAAATACATAAAATTTACCATCTGAACTATTTTTAAGCATATAGTTCAGTGGCATTAATGCAATTATTACTACCATCTATCTCCAGAAATATTTTCATCTTGCAGAACTGAAACTGTACTCATTAAACAATAACTCCCATTTCCCCCTCCCCTTTGGCTCTGGCAACCACCATTCTACTTTCTATCTCTGTGTATCTGACTACTTGTAGGTACTTCATGTAACAGAAATCATATGGTATGTGTCCTTTTTTGCGACTGACTTATTTAATTTAATATAATGTCTTCAAGGTTCACTCATGTTGTAGTATGTATGTCCTTTTGAAGGCTGAATAATATTCCTTTGTATGTACATACCACAATTTGCTTATCCATTCATCTGTCAGTGCTCACTTGGATGGCTTCCACCTTTTGGCTTCTGTGAATAATACTGCTACAAAAGTGGGTGTACACGTATCTATTTGAGTCACTGTTTTCCGTTCTCTTGGGTATAAAACCAGAATAGAGTTGCTGGATTATACAGTAATTCTGTTTAATTTTTTGAGGAACTGCCATGCTGTTTTCCATAGTGGCTATACAACTAAACGTTCCCACCAGCAATGTATAAGGGTTCCAGTTTCTCCACATCTTCACCAACACCTATTATTTTCTGGTGTTTTTGATAGTAGCCATCTTCCTAAGGCTTGAGATCTTTGAAGAGCCTATACATGATTGCCTTCCATAGCTCTATAGTCTAAATTTAGTTTGAATATCATTCCCCTTGTAAGTGCTTTCTTTGTTGCCTTAGTGCATACAGATATTAGTTGTTATTATCTTACCAAGAATTCACTCCATGTTTGTAGGTATAAAGTACATAGAGATCTTAAGTGTTAAGCTCTTTGAGTTCTGACAGAAATAAAAGCCATGTATCTCCTGCCCCAGTCAAAATAAAGGACACTTCCATTAGCCTATTATATTCCATCAAGCCTCTTCCAAGTCAGTCCCTCCCACTAGGACAATCACAGTTGTGATTTCTACCAGCATAAGTTAGTTTTGTCTATTCTAGATCTTTTTCATGTATACTTTCTTTCACTCTGCTTAATGTCTGAGAGATTTATACACATTTTTGCATGTATAAGTAGTTTATTTTAATAGTAGAATAGTATTCAATTATATGAATTCACCAGTTTATTTATGTCTCTCCTAATAATAGACATTTGAAATGTTCCAGTTTGGGGCTATTGTGAATAAATTACTGTGAACATACTCTAATGCACTTTTATGGACATGTATATGCTTCTCAGTAGAAACCTAGCAGTTGATATTGTTCATTCAAAAGGCAGTATAAATTTTACTTTTTTAAGAAACAGTCAGTTTTTAAAAGTTACTACACCATTTTAAAGTTTTACCAGCAATATATGAGAATTTTGATTGTTATCAATATTTTCATTATGGTCATTCTGAAAGATATGGAAGTATATTTTTGCAGTCAGTTTATATTGAAAACCTTTTCAAGTGCTTTTAATATCTTCTTCAGAGGTGCCTATTTAAATGTTTTACCCATTTCTTATTGGATAATATATTTTTACCTTGAATAATAGGAATTTTTTTATGTAGTCTGGATAGAAGTATTTTGTTTGTTATAGGTATTGCAAAAATTCCTCTAGTCTGAGGCTTGCCTATTCATTTTAATGGTGTCTTTCAATGAGCATAAGTTTTTAACTTTGATGAAGTCCAGTTTATTATTATTTCATTTATAATTATTTCTTTGACCTATCAAACAAATATTTGTCTTCTCCGGGGTTGTGAAGATAGTTCTCTGTATTTTCTTTTAGAACTGTTAGTTCTGTGGCCCACCTCATGTTAGGAGTTTTTTATAATGTAAAGTAAGGGTAGATAATCTGTTTTCTTTCATATGGATATCAATTTGTCTCATCACTTGGTGAATGAAATTGCTCTGTTAATCTTATCATAAATTGTTTGTGTCAGTCTATTTTTAGACTATTCTTTCCTTTGATATGTTTTAAATCCTATTATCAATGCCATGTGGTCTTTGATTATTTTAGCTTTATTATACATCTTTGTTAAAAATATGTTTTTATTGATTTCAGAGAGGAAGGGAGAGGGAGAGAGAAATAGAAACATCAGTGATGAGGGAGAATCATTAATCAGCTGCCTCCTGCATGCCCCTTACTGGGAATAGAGCCTGAAACCCGGGCATGTACCCTGACCAGGAATTGAATCATGATTTCCTGGTTCATGGATTGGCGCTCAGCCAAGCTATAATAAGTCTTGAAGTCAGGGTAAGTCCTCTAAATTTCTTCTTTTTAAAAATGTTTTGGCTATTCTAGATCATTTCCTTTTTAAAATACATTTTAAAATCAATTTGTAGATTCCTTTAAATAAATGTGCTAAGATTTTTATTGATGAAAACTAACATTATAGCAATATTGTCTTTCAGTCCGTCATTATACCTTTCCATTTGAGTTAATTCTCTAATTCTTGTACAGTGGTTTATTATTTTTAGTGTATTAGTCTTTTGTATCTTTCATTAAGTTTATCTCAAAGCTTTTAATATTTTTTTAAAATTTTATTGTTTATTTTTCAGTTACAGTTGACAAACAATATTATATTCATTTCAGGTGTACAAGATTAGACATTTATATAAAGTACAAAGGAATCAACCTGTTAAGTCTAGTACCCATTTGACATAATGTAAAGTTATTATAATATTACTTATTCTTAAAATAAAAATATTATTTATTTGTATTACTTAATAATATTTTATTTTTAAATTATAGTTGGCATTCAATATTACATTAGTTTCAGGTGTACAACATAGTGATTAGACATTTATATAACTTACAAAGCGACCTTCCCAATAAATCTAGTACCCATCTGACACTATACATAGTTATTACAGTATTAATTTCTACATTCCCTAAGCTGTACCATATATCCCCATGACTATTTTGTAACTATCAATTTGTACTTCTTTTTAATAAATCTTTATTGTTCAGATTATTACAGTTGTTCCTCTTTATTCCCCCCGTAGCTCCCCTCAACCTGGTTCCCACCCCACCCTCTGTCCCTATCCCTCTCCCCCACTGTCCTCATCCATAGGTGTACGATTTTTGTCCAGTCTCTTCCCGCACCCCCACACTCCTTTCCCCTGGATTCTATTATATTCACAAATTTATACCCCTGATTCTATTATATTCACCAGTTTACTCTGTTCATCAGATTTTTTATTCACTTGATTTTTAGATTCACTTGTTGATAGCTATGTATTTGTTGTTCATAATTTTTATCTTTACCTTTTTCTTCTTCTTCCTCTTCTTAAAGAATACCTTTCAGCATTTCATATAATACTGGTTTGGTGGTGATGAACTCCTTTAGCTTTTTCTTTTCTGTGAAACTCTTTATCTGACCTTCAATTTTAAATGATAGCTTTGCTGGATAGAGTAATCTTGGTTGTAGGTTCTTGCTATTCATCACTTTGAATATTTCTTGCCACTCCCTTTTGGCCTGCATAGTTTCTGTTGAGAAATCAGCTGACAGTCATATGGGTACCCCCCTGTAAGTAACTAACTGTTTTTCTCTTGCTGATTTTAAGATTCTCTCTTTGTCTTTTGCTCTTGGCATTTTAATTATGTTGTGTCTTGGTGTGGTCCTCTTTGGATTTCTTTTGTTTGGGGTTCTCTGCACTACCTGGACTTGTAAGTCTATTTCTTTCACCAGGTGGGGGAAGTTTTCTGTCATTATTTCTCCAAATAGGTTTTCACTATCTTGCGCTCTCTCTTCTTCTGGCACCCCCATAATTCGGATGTTGGTACGTTTGAAGTTGTCCCAGAGGCTCCTTACACTATCTTCATATTTTTGGATTCATTTTCTTTTTGCTTTTCTGGTTGGGTGTTTTTTGCTTCTTCATATTTCAAATCTTTGACTTGATTCTTGCAATCCTCTAGTCTGCTGTTGGGAGTCTGTATAATATTCTTTATTTCAGTCAGTGTATGCTTAATTTCTAGTTGGTACTTTTTCATATGCTCGAGGGTCTCACTGCATTTATCAGTGGTTTCTAGAAAATTCTTGAAAAACCTTATAACCGTGGTTTTGAACTCTATGTCCAGTAGTTTGTTTTCCTCCATTTCTGTCATTTGTGACATGTTTCTTTGTCTCCGCATTTTTTATGCTTCCCTGTGTTGAGAGAGTGGCTTTCTGTGCTAGGTGTCCTATAGTGCCCAGTGGCTCAGCCTCCCCAATTACCTGAGGTGGACACTCTTGGTGCAACCCTTTGTGGGCTGTGTGCACAGTCTTGTTGTATTTAAGCCTTGATTGTTGTTGGTATCACTGGGAGTAATTGACCTCCAGGCCAATTGGCTGTGAGAATCAGCTGTGTCTGTGGTGGGAGAACTTCTGTGCTGGAGACACCCTTATGGGGAAAGACTTGCTTCAGTGGGGCTTTGGTGCTCACTGAGTCTGCCCCCTGAGTGTGTCCCTTATGGATCTGAGGAGTTGTAATCTGGATGGTCCCATTCTGACCACTGGGTTACACTGGCTCTTGAATCTCTAAGGAGGTGCTAATTTAGCCTCTGCCTGAGGCTACCCAGCAGGAGCTATGGAGAGATCTGCAGATTGCTCTTCCTTGTTTGGGGTTTGGAGGTACCCAGATGAGGCCCAGCTGTGAAGCAATGCAAGCTGCTGTGGGGCCTTGGGCCTTCTTTTGGATGTTCTGGGTCTCTCTGACCCAGGTGCCATATGTTAGGTAATTTTAGATTGCAAAGGGCCAGGCCATTCGTGTGCAAAAGCCTCTGCACACAGCTTGGGTGGGGCGGGGGTCTCAGGGAATCAACAGGGCGAAACAAACATGTCTGGCTGATCCTCAGCCCTGTCCTAAGAGGCCCCGGGTCTCAGTGTCCCACAGTAATCACTGAAAG